AATGCTACTGGAAATTTTTTTTAGCCCTTTTTGAAACAAAGAACTTGTAAGTTAAAATGCTGGTGATACACACTATCACACAGTAGTGCTCTGCTTTGTGTACATCACGTGCATTCGTAAGGATAATACGAAGGTTTAAAAGACTATGCTAATCATAGCTTCAATATTTAGCACTAAAAAAAAAAATCTCAAAGAGTGGAAGTTAAAAATTTGCCTAAGTTTCCCAGTTTAGTGACTCAAAACTGGCATAGAAAGCAAGAATTTCAGGCATATAGAAGGACATCAAATGTACAAGGAAGATTTCTGGATTGAAACATATAACAACAATCAGTTAGATTATACATGGAGGTTGCTTTTAGAATTTTTAAGATGTAAACCAACGTGATTTGAACTGAAGGATGCGACTGAGTAATTTAGAGTCGATACGACATTTATAAATCGGAAGAGTGTACATGCCCTCTAGACATCCAATCCTGGAGAAAGGAGACAATGCTGAGCTATAACAAGCCATAGCTCTTCACTTCCACCTCCACCAAGAGCTGTACCATCTCCAAAAGGAGTGAGAACAGCACCACATACACTCCTGTCTGGACTGATCTTATTCAATAGCTTGAAATTGGCTCCAAACAGGTTATGCCATCAAGATAAGGTGGAATTGTAGACAAGAAAGGGAATGGAGAGCCAGTATGTCACAGCTGCATGCAGAGACAGGTGAGAAATACCTTAGAGACTGCAGCACTGCCTTTTCTGCACCCTGTGTTGTAGGAGAGATGATAATCAAACAGCATAACTTGAGGAAGAATGCAATGACCACAGCACGAGCCTTCCCCAGTGCTCTTCAAGATGTCAGTTACTGCTACCTACTGCTTTGTTGTTAAGGCAATTCTCATTCCTAATTCTAAATTCTACGCAGACTACTAGTTTATCTAGCAGTGAAATGCTCTAGAACTGACCACTCTATTGCCAACATAATTACAAACCACTTCAGAGCCTCAGCACATCAGAGTATCTGATTTTTTCAGGTTCAGCATACATAGAACTTATCTGGAACCTCGTCCTTTCTCTTCCCTTTATCTGCTATGCCTGATTTCCCATTCTGCATTTTCACCAACCAGCCTTTAAGATGGAGGTTTGCAATTACTCGCTGTAAGAAAATCATCCCACTGGAAACTCAACTGTAGCTGGGCTGCTTGTTAATTAATAGGATCAGGTTAAAGACTTTTAAATCATACTTTACAATAAGTTTCTTTCAAAATGTAGCACCAGTGTTCACTATGTAATGACAGTTCTATAATTATTGTTGACTTTCTGAATACTCCGACTCAATCAAAAGTTTGATCTGAATTATTCATTTTAATAGTATTATAGTATAATGTCAAAACTAAATGAAGATGCCCATTATAGACTGTGGCCAAAACATTTTTTTTTAGACTTAGAGCTATTAATTCCTACAGGTGAACACAGCTTTCTTGACCCAGAGGTCCTTGTCAGTTTTAATGTCATAAGTTTATCTAAGGCCTTTCAGCAACTTTGATCAATGTAGTTGTATTGGACTTTCCTAGACATTTCTACACGCTGCAAAATACCTGTGGGATACTATTCTTTTCCCCCATAAAAGCTAAAGAAAATAAAAATAAAAACATTCCTCCAAACCATCTTTAAGCATCCACCCTCCAAAACTTGATACCCAAATTGTTAAGAACCTTTCTACTTGTCCTTCTCTTAGACAACTTTTTTTTTCAAACCAGAGAACTGCTTGAAAAAATTGTTCTTTCACTTTAAAGCTACTAAAAATTTTATTGTTTTCTTTCTTCTGGTACAATTATAGAAGTACAACTATTATTTACATGGTATAAGGAGGTTTATATTGGTAGAGCTGTATTCAGATATGGAAGGAAAAGATGCCTAAGCAAAAGAAAAGTGGATATCACTGGTTAGCTGTGTTGGTAGAAAGTTATATCCCCAACCTAATATGAGCATGTAGTTAAAACTTTCAAGTATTATTGAGAAACAACTTTATTTAGAACCAACTTGGGAAAAAAAAAAAAAGAAAAAAAAAAAAGACAAAAACTAGGAGAATTCTGTTACTGAATAGTTTCCTGCACAGTGGCTACAGATTTTGTACAGCATTATCACAGTAAATCACAAGCACTGATTACTTTCCATAGCGTGCAATACACCCAGGGTAGAAAGGGATGGTGATTCCAGTGACTCTTCACTTCTCTCAGCAAAGCTGAGGCTATTACTTACATGACTTTACTACGTAGGCACACTTCCTTCTCTCCAGTAACATGCTGAATTCCCTATACACCTGCTCATGTTAAACTGACTGAGTTTATCTCAGCAATCTCCCAAAAATTGGTTTCCACATTTCATAATTATAGGTGGAGGCATAGGTTTTCCTAGCAGCATCTTCCATTGCTTCAAATACTGAGTAAAAATGCAGCTAAAGAGAATATCTGAGAATTTAAAGGCAGAAAGTAAACAGAAAGATAATCAAGGAACAGAAGAATTTAAAGTTGCAAAGGTGAGGACTCCATACTAATGGGATCAGTGGGAGGAATATCAACACCTGTCTTCTGATATAATATACAACAAACACCTTCTGCAAAGCAGGTGGGCTACTCTCCTGCTTCTAGGAGGAATAGGATTAAATCTGTGGTTTTATAGCAGTATTTCAAGTATTTCAAAGTCAAGACAGGTATTAATTTTATCCATTCCTACAAGGATTTCAAGATTCTGAATTTTTTAATGCAAACTACCTGTAATACAGAAGACAGATCAGTGAGTCATTGGTAGGTTTCTTAGCTCTAACAGTATAGCCAGTGTTACAAAGCTGCTTTTGGAAGAGGACCTTTGGATGAAGATCTGACTGCAAAAGTCACTTAGAAATAAAATGAGTCTTTATTATCTTCAGCAAGGTCTTTGGATCAAGTTCATAGGATAGCACACGACGTATATTGAGATTTTGCTTTGTTATTTATTTCTGTAATTGTGGTTTTGGTTGTGTTAGTATTTTCACCGAGGATGCCAGCGTCTAAGAAAATCAGACATAAAACCTAGGTTAGTATTTCTAACTTTTTGACTGAGTATTCTTTACAATAGAAATTCTCCTCTTTTACCAAATAATTACATATGTTTCCTTAAATACTCCTGGCGACCTTCCTGTACTTGAATGTATACAATAACATTTAAATTCTTAATTCCATATCCACATAAGCAAATGATGCCATTCCACGAAGGCTGATACTGACTTGAATTACGAGAACATGTACTGCATTCAACAGCCTTTTGCACACGTGTTATGGTATGCCTTCCAAAGCTACCTTACAGTCAGTCTTCAAATACACAGATTCTTTGGAGCTGCTGACAATAGTCTGCAAAGAAGGTATTCTTAGGATTCAGATTATACATACTACTTATCAAAATGAGAAGTGGAAGAGAAAATCTATCTCAAATCCCTGCAGGCCTATTTATTCACATGCCCAAAGCTCCTTCTCACCACCTTCTGAAGTCATTTATAATACGTTGTGTCTTATCAGGTGAGCTTTCGTAAATAATTCTGTGTTTTGGACACAATACTGTACACATCCTGTATGCATATTTTGTTGCTCATTTGTTAAAAAATAAGATGGATGAGAGCAATTCCTTACACTGTGCTCCTTAGCATTCTCATTTTGACAAATGAATAAAGCATTGAGGTTACGTAGTAGAAGGGGCACTCTTTGATAATCCACCAGCCAGAAAAGATTATGCCATTTCCTATCAAGTAAAGTAAAAAAATGTGTACTCATTTTAGTCTCTGATAAGTGGTAAGATTGACATCAGAAAAGCTCCCTTCTTCACATTTTTCCTACACCAATAAAGATTGAGTGCAAGTATTACATTAACCAAAAAAGGATTCAATTGCTTTAGATACTTCAAATGAATGTAATATTCATGTTTATCTGCATCAACAGCCTGACATCTCCGATCTCTCTTCATCACTGGAATACAGCTTGGATGACACTCACTGCTAAATTCATATTAACAAAATGATAATTTGTTCTGTGAAAAAAACAAAAATAAAAATCAAGTAGAATGCACTGAGCTGTCAGTGTTAAGTTCAATCTATCAAGAAAATTTAGAAAATAGGTTGATTCTATTTTGCAATCTTTATGTGAATTTGTTGTTTAAAAATAGTAGTGGAAAACATAGATTGGAAAATCTTTATATATGGTTCAAAAAGGAAAACATTATTTTGTTTCGTTCATCACAGTTTTGGTATTACTAGTCTGGTTAAATCTGGAGTATTTTACAGTAGCATTGTAACTAAGGAATCAAATAGAAGTCTTTAAATTATGATCATCCATTAGTTAATGAAAACAAGGTACATTTAGTCAAGAGACTAGGAAGGCAGAATGATACTTATTCAAAATCTACTGATCAGACCTGAATGGATAGTCCATGCTTGTAGAAGGAAAGCAGGCTTCTGACAGTAGATAGCCATGGCAAGGGAGCTATGTGGGTAATATGAAAATAAAAGTAGGGGTAAAACTCCTCCTTTGTCCTCTCAGGTTTGATCAGGCAACTTTTACCACATGTGAAGAGACTCCATAGTTACTTGTTCCCTATTACATAAAATAAATAGCTAGCACTGATGAGAACTACTAGGTTGGGCATTAATTGGCTTACCACATCTAAACAGTCTTTGCTGGATGAGCAATTGTCAGCCAAATGGAGAACGGCTGATCTCTACTGCTCCTTGGAATGGGCTGAGCCTTGAAGTAGCTGAGCTGGCAGCTTCCTAGTTCTTTTCTTTCTTACAATGTTATATCTTTCCTTGTCAGTATTTTTCCTTATGAACTGCTGTCTACCTCCATCCCAACAATCTTACCTCTGTCTGCAGTTTTATCTTTCTTATCTCATTTGGCTCCAGGGTACGTGCTTTCTCTCAGCTCTCTCTCCACCTTGCAGTCTACTTAGGAGTATGAGCCAAGTTTATGCAGGTGTGCTGAATCAGACCTGGCCTTGGATCATAGGCAGCACAGCCCTAGAAGGAGAGTGACAAGGACCACAAACTACAAGGATTTGTCCTCACTTAATCAGGTACAGGAACTTTGCAGTTTGAGGAAAGCAGGACTTTGAGAATGATGAGAGAATAGGAAGAGAAATTCCTATAAATCCCTGAAAGGGATGGACATTAAGGCATTGACCCCCTGCTGTCTTATGCTTGGTTTCTGTCTGTATCCATGCTAAACTCAACAAGAAGTGAAGAGGGAATGCAAAAGAATTATAAGGAGAAGAACCTGTCTAGCCCTGAAACCCTCTTATTCTCAATAAGGCGAATTTTTAATTAACAGCTGTATGCAAATGCCCACACCCACCACATTATCAATTTGACCTCATGGAAGTTAAATTCTTCTATTATTTACCAAGTAAGTTTTTATTTATGTTTTAGAAAACAAATTAAATTTTAAATTATAGATTATCAATATTTTGTTTGTCCATACATCTATATCAAAATTTTCTCTGGATATAATAAAATCTGAAACCTGCAATTAGCACGTGTTGGATGTGCTTTAGATTTTGTAGAATAGATAAAGCTGATGTTCTAGACTAAGAAATTAGACTGCACTGCATTAATTATTTAGTTCAATAGTTTCCATTTTCATTAGTAAAAATACGTTTTGAGTCTTTCCTTTCTCTTACCAGCTCCAGGTACTTTACTTAAATCTAGTGTCTCCCCTAACTAGCAAACAAAATCAAAAATCAAAAACCCAGCAGATACTTCAATGAAAATGAACTTATCTTAAATACATGAAATTTTATGAAGCTGTAGACAGCAATTACACCACTGCCTTCTATTTTCTCAGGGTTACAAACAGATGGACTCTAAAATTAAAATTCAGTATTAGTATTGAGATAGAACAAAAATGTGCACTAGTCTTATTTCAGATATAATCTGTTGATACAAGATTGTTCCTGTCGTTAGCATTCCAATGTTCTTCTTCTATTCTTGCATTTGAAATCACATGCAGAAGATCACTGCTCAGAAACCAGGGGAGTAAAGGAAAAGATAAATACAAATAATGACCATGGCACCATGAAAGAGCATATGGTGTTGGAGATAGTATCTTTAAGGGTGTCATAGAAAGAGGTTTTTTCTGAAGTCCTTTTGACTTTGTTCCAGCCAAAGACTTGGTTATCTTACTGTCAAATGAGGTGCTCTTAGTCAAAAGGCAGATTCTTAAAATACTGACTCTGCTGCTTCCTGTTGCAGCTACTGTAACTGTGTGAGGTTATCTATGTTTTCTGTACAGTTTCTTGACTGTCTCAAGATACGATCCCCATGGTACACAATGACTTCAGCTGAAATTGTACTACTAATGAACAAGGTATCGTGATTCATGTACTGGGCATTAAATACTCCATCATGACACCATGCGTGCTCCCATCAACTTTTCTGCTCATGGAACCAGACCGAGGCCTCCATTGAACATTAATAAGAATTTAAGCCATTACTGTTTTTAATTGCTTATCTTAGAAATCATGTTGTGATGTTCTAAGCATGTCAGCATGAGACACTGCCTTGTTCCACGTCAGAAGCTTGATGTCTGAGCTATGGTAAATGTCAATATAGGTAATCACTGTTTCAATAAAACATTGCATCATTGGAAACAGCATTTTGGGATCACCACTTGTCGCCCCACATCAGGTTAGAAAGAAGCTCACACAGCTACTCACAAAGCTAGAGTTTTCAGTTATTCTAGTACTTCAGGGTCATTTAACAGCAGTTGTGTCTTTTCACTTGTTTCAGTGGGCTTACAAATCAATCTTCACTGTTGTTATGGGACATTCAAAAACTGTACACCTAACCTGGTCTACAGTCTTCTATGTATGGATTAACTCCAACCAAATGCTTAATGCTAGGACAACTTATCAAGTCTACCTGAGGTGAGGTCAAAGTTTCTGGCTCACTCATAAAGTGAGCTAAGTGACCATCTACTTGCCCAAGAGACGGGTGGGGTCATGGGCTTTTTCGTTTGTTTGCTGGAGTCAGGTAGATACAGTAGTCACATATAGAAAGGGTTAGAGACTTGAAGATCTCCCAGTCAAATAATATTTGCATTAATCACTTTACTGATTTTTAATTTTCTTGCACTGAAAATACATGCAGGTATAAAAATGTAAATGTGGAGATTTCTGACAAACACAATGCTACACAATGCCAATCAAAAAGGAAATGAAATTATACATGAAGCAGAAGAAAATTCCCTGTAACATTAAACTGTAGGGAATGATAAGGGAACTATAATTACATTATAGAAAGAGATGTAAGTTTTCTGCTTTAAAAGTGATGAGAATAAGACATTAAAACCTCGCAGATGGATGACAGATGACATAAAATAAAATGAGGTTTATGGTAATCAAACATGATGTTAGGTTGCTGCTGTTGTACTATGATTAGAGTATTGCATACAAAAAAGCTGAAATGACCAAAATCAACAAGGCAGTAAATTATAATTTACACGACTGACTGATTCATTCTGTGTCCTTGAGCAAATTTTTTGAGGACTAATTTTCAAAAGGTCAGACTTGTGACAAGGCATGTAAAAATGTACTCCCGTTTTCACATGTAATACATGATGGGGAGAAAATTGCCACAGACAGATAACCAGCTTTTTGCCTGAATTCAGTGTGAGTTCGCTTGAATCAAAACTAAGTAAAAGTCCAGGATTTGGCACGCAAATAGATTGCAGAAAAAAACTGCAAGACTGTTGGACAAACTATAATATTAAATACCTGTGGTCAACTTTCATTCCAAAGATTTCCAGTTTTTCATGGAGCTTTCCTAGTTAAGTAGTCCTCAGTTCCTCCTTCTGTTGAAAATATCTGATTATCTATCTAATATTTGATTATTATCCTATTTTTTTTTTTTAATATGCTTCAAGTTTGTATTTATTTGCAGAAAGAAAAATGCCTAGTGATTTGGGACAATCCGCGTGTGCAGCAGAACTAATTGGATGGGATTATTCATGGAGTTGATGGCATCATTACTACAGGAAGTTTAAAAAAGTTTGATGGCACAGGAGGGCCTTCCCAGGACTCTAAAGGCCTAAATGGAATGCATTATCTGCACTGCGTATGTCTACATCTCCAGTTGTATTAGGCCATATTCTATATCATTGTACATTGAATCGCAATAATAACAGATATACTGTATTTTAGAGGGGACAATTGAAGCTGACTATATGAATAGTGATGCAGCAAAGGAGGTGGAAATAACAGAAGTTTACTTTTCAGTGTTTTTAAGTTAATGGTGTCCACAGATCACATCGAGCCACAATGTCTTTCCAATAGTTATAAAAATAATACTGACTCAAATTACAGATGAAAAAGGTTAGTGTAATCCCCCTGGTGTCCAGCTACTTGAAATTCATCTCCCAGTAAGATTTTGGAGTTCACACCTAAAAATCTCTCTATGCAGAATGCATATACATATTTTATTTTCCATACTGTTAACTTTAATTGCTGTAGTCCATTTTCTTTAACAAGCTCTACCTCTGGAAGCAAGCTATCATAAACTGTTAATTCCAAACCCATGAGCATCCTTCTCTTGAGCATTTACTACAGGCTCCAGTTTTGAATTCTTTTAAAGTCATACTATGGTATAGCCTAGCAGTGCTAATTTTGAGCTGGATATTTGGCAAGATATTCCAGCACCTGGTTTTGAAATACTGAAATGGGATTTTGAACACTGAACTGCTGAGAACACTCAGCACACTGAGATTTGGCCTCTAGTACTAATGCTGATCTGGGGCTATGTGCACCTAATTATGGCCATATATTTACTGTGATAATAGAGTCTTCTGCCCTGGACACTTAGGTTCAGGTTTTCTGTGATCAGAAAGCTGAACTGAGAAATAGAAAATCCAGGTTAAGATCCATGCTGCGACAGATGGCTCTTGAAAAAATGAATTGAAAGTTGAAAGGCAAAATTTTTTAAAGATTAATTGGTAATCTCTGAAGATTCCTCCTCTTTGATTGGTGTTTTTCTTTCTAAACATGCTTAAACCTCTGGTTTCCAAATATAAATAAGGTACATGGAAGAGCATTCATTGACAATAGAGGCAGAAAACTTGTGCAAAATCAGAAATTTGAAAGTTTAGTTTTGATACAGAGAGGGATAGGGTCCACTAATCCTACTAAAAGTCCCAATATTATATATGAGCATGCACAGATCCTTGTAGATTCTTTGCTGCAATGTTTTTGGATTATCGAGTAGAAAATCATCTGTTGCAGACATTAATACTGTTGTGGTATTCTGATGGGGCTGATAGGAAGAATTTATGTGGAAGCAGGGGACATCTCAGCATTTCTACATAGAACCATAAAAATTGATGGCATTTTATATGTGATACCATCTGCTTTTTATGGGTTTTGTCTTCTCTGGATGTTTTTGTTTTTATTTATTCTCCTATGAAAATTCATTTCTTTAACGTTGAGCTTGTTAATAGGAAGAAAAAATATTGCGGTATATGTAATACATATAAATTATATTTATTTTATTTTAGTGGATTTTTTTCTGTTGAGAAACATAACTGAAATTTGCTGATTTTCAGAAGCACCTTATATCCTACTCCTGCTGTCTACCAAGGAAATTCGGGGCAGCTCCAATAATTAGTTCCCTGATTGCTACATTATGAGGAGGTTATTGACCTTATTGACATCACTCACCTTCTCTTTCAGCTCAAAGTGCACAGCCCACCCCACAATCAATCTCTCTCTCATATTTCTGTCCATAGCAGCAGGCATTATTGCTTGATGAGAACGTTGTAATCAAACCACAACAGCGTCCTCCAAACCTTGAACCTGTGCCCAGGCTGCGAGGCTGGTGCCTCCACTAATTAACTATTTTAAATTTAGCTGTCAAGTTTAATTAGGAAATCCATTGTCTCAAAATATGTGACCTGATAAAAGGAGACAATAAAAGCATCTATGAAAGTGTAAAGCTTCAGCTTTGGTTGTTTTGGTTTTGTTTTTTTTTTTGTTTTTTTTTTTTTTTTGAGCTCCAACTTCACATCAGTGGAAATTAAGGATGTGTGGTTCCTGGTGTTATGAGGTTCAGCACAGCCTTTCCACTTCTTCACTGCTTAACTCCTGACATCTGATGAGTGTCTTTTTATTGTGTAATCATGTAAACACGCAAGAAGAGAAACTGAAAGGGAGAACTGTACAGTTGTCTCTGCATTTTCTACTAACCAGCCAGATACATTAGCTTCACAAAGTGTGTGCTCAATGGGATCTTTAAGAACCTCTACAATCATTAAATCTAAATTAAGCTGCATGAAAGGAATAAGCAGTGTGCACTCTAGCAGTGCTAAAAGGCTGCAAACCATGTGCAGGATCTTAGAGTCTGTCCAAAGTCCTCTTCTGTCCCACTGCACCCTCAGTTCATTAATAAGCCAGTCCAAAGCTAGCTCAGCCTGTGCTGCCATCAACATGAGATTCACGCAATAGGTGTGTTGATGGACTGAGAAAATGATCAAACCACTCTAGACAAAGAGCGAACATGAAACCAGGCTTTAGCAAGGTCATTTTATCAGATCTCACATAATATCCATATGGCTATACTGGTGAGGTATGGACTAGAAAGACGGATAATCTGGAATACTCTGCTCAGTTCTGGGCTCCCCTGTTCAAAAAAGACAGGGATCTCGTAGGAAGAGACCAGTGGAGAGCTACAAAGACGATAAGAGCTCTGGAGCACCTTCCAGACAAGGAAAGGCTGGGAAACCTGGAACGTTTCATTCTGGAGAAAAGAAAGCTGAGAGGGGATCTCATGACTGTTTATAAGTAGCTAGAGTGCAGAAGCCATAGCTTAAAGCCATGTTGATGAACCCAGACAGCTTCTGGACTAGAATTTGTTTCCCCCTATGACCTAGATGGATTCCATTAGCAACCATCAGGCCAGAAGCTGAGTAAACCACCCCATGGTTGAAAAAGCCAAAATTCTTGCCATGGCACCAGCCTGTTAGCCATGCATTTATCACATTTTTTCCTTGTCCTCTCAGTATCCCTCCCTACCACTGAAGGGTCAGAAAGCACCACGTGTACCCCTGCTCCATCCACTAGCCATCCCAGTCCCATTAAGTCTTCCTCAAATTACCTTGCATTCACCATATGGTGCAAAATTTTTGTCAGTCAGTAGTCTGCATCAGCTATTTCACAGAACTTGTTCATATTCTTACTTGGGCCAACTGCAAGGTTATTTGAGCTGACCTATATACTCATACCCACATACCTCTAAAACAGAGTGTTCTAAAAATATCTTCCTAACTGTCTTAATTTAAATTCAGACTGTTTGGATTTCAATAAATGCAGTGTATTTTTTTCTTACATACGCACTGCTTTCCATGTCACAGAAACCATTCTTCCCGCTGTGTTTAGTGAAAAGATTATTCATCATCTCTCCAAGAAATGTGTAACTCTCATCTCTTCTATTCTTTCAAAAAAAGCCAAAGTTTGACTTATGTCTGCTTTTCTTACTCCTTTGCAAGGAATTTCCACCCATTTCTCAGCAACAACCCTTCAGAAATGCAACTGTCAATGCCTTATGTGAAAAGACAAACAGATGTGAAAATACAAACAGATGTGAAAACACAAACAAACTGTACTAGCTTGCTCATCCAGTTGATGAGAATGATTCTTCTCATGTAGGGCAATATATATTAAGACACTAGTTTCTTGTGTTCAAGCAGTCCCTCAGAGTTTTGCCTGGGCTGAAATAAGAATGAAGGAATATAATAACAGCAATACTCAGTGTCACACCTTAACAATTTTCCCCTCATCTAGAATTTACACAACTATTCCTATAATTCATCTTCATTACCCCAACTTACTTATAACACGTTTCATATATTTTATCTTTTAGTGCAGATGATATTATTGTATGATCTGCTTGTCAAGTACGCTTTGAGGTTTAACAGGTGAGCATTCAGTAAAGTCTAAAGTATATGTTGTATACAAACCACAAGGACAAAACAAAGGAAACTACTGAAAATGCTGTGTGTGTGCACATGGGTACTACTTAAAACAGAGAGAGCTTGGGACACAGGGGAAAGACAACAAAGACAATGCCTATTTATAATAGAATTTTGGTTTCACACAAGGATAGGAACTGAATTTTCTTTCAGTTCCTAAAACTGAATTTTATTGAAGGGCACTTTAATAGACAAAATGATATTTAACTTCCAGAACGAGACCTGAATGTGAAATGTATTTTATTTTTTGCCTGTGCAGACCAAATATCAATTTTTTTTGTCTGAGTTTGAGGGGAAAAGAAAGAGCAAACAGCAGTGCAGAAAGATACTGAGGCTAAAACCTTTCAGATGTGTTTGTGAATATACAAGTCTGTAAATATTGATGGTTCTTTGCAATAAAAACCCATTCCTATCAATTTGACTTCAGTGAACACGGAAATTAAACTGGATTTCACAAGCCTTCCAGCATTAATTGAATAATGAGATCAATTAGCAATGCCACTAAATTATTAATTAAGCCTCATACATATAACCACATTATCTCATACCTTTCTCCTTGTAGGTAATGAAGCTTGTCAGGGTAACCCTACTATAAGTAGAGGCAGAAGTAACCATTCTTCACACATAGTAATCCACAGAGAGGAGATTTTAAGGGTAGGAAATTAATGAACATCATCTGAATAAAAAGTAAATGTAATGTAAAAGTATATGATTTGCCATATAAGTTCTAATGTTATAAAAGAACAAAGAAAGTGTTAACATTTCTCTGCATGTACAAGTAGTAATGGCCACTCATTCAAACCTCCTGTTAGCAGTAGATTTTTTGCCTTCGTATGGTTTACGAATACAGATTTTGAATGTAGTTTTGTATCACGTTTGTAGTACACCATTGCTAAGACAAATCATATGCAGCCCTGCTATCTGCGAGCCTTCCAAGGGACATGAATTCATTTCTTAGGTATGTGAGTGTGTTTTACTCAGACTGGTGTGAGACAGAGTGGTGGTAGCACCCTGTCTTGAATGGAAGCTTTCAGGTGTCTCCACAAGGAAAATGGTCCAGCCTGTGCTGCCTTTCCATCTTTCTGAGAAGGACAATTGGGCAGAATTTTTTTGAGCAAAAGGACCTCTCCTCTCACTGTCTGACATAGGCCAGGCTCTCCTGGCTGCAGTTCTTCGCTAAGACCTGCAGCTTTTTCCATTCTTCTGACTGCAATGGGAAAGGGAGAAAATAAGAAAATTTTGCATGCTTGGACTCAAGAAACCAGTTGGTGAGTGCTCAGCTGGTGGGAAAAGGAGTTGAAGTCTGTGTTTAAAGATGTTACATTTTCAATAGCAGCAGTAAAATCTTTGTCATGGTTTCAGATCAGGACATCCTAGTTCACACCGAAATCTAGGAGGATAATTTAAATAGCAAGGGAGATTTCAGGGAGTACAAAAGAAAGAGTATGTTATACAGGGATAAACAGCTTCAGTGGGAATTTGGGGTTAAATCACAACAAATTTCTGGGTGTATCCAAAAGCTTTAGCTTGACCAAGAGACACTCTGTTAAGGTCTGAACTAGATTGCAGCTTGACCCAAGCACAGCTTCTAACAAATACAAATCCTCCTATGCAAACAGCGGACTCTGCAGTTTGTTCCATGGATTGCCTCAGGTTGCTGTGAAATCGGAACCAATTCTCAAGCTAGGAAAGGATCAGCCTTGTGCAAATTAGAAAGTATCTGCTTTAGTCCATAGATGCTGCTAGACAGGCAATGTAAGGAAATGCTGAGAACAGAATTAGTCTCTAGGAAAAGAATTAATCAAATGCCTCTGCAAATAAATGTGCTGGACTTCTGCAACAGTAGGCAATATAACAAGAACTCTTTGAATTTACATTAAAACTACACTAATTCTTTAACTAGTCAAATTTAATTGCATATCGTGCTTTATCATGCAAATAACCATGTTTTCTGAATATGTACTGGGGAAGAGAGGGAGAAAATTACTTCAGAACTTCCAATTAAGCAAAACAGATGAGAATCAATGACATCTTGGAAATAATTTCAGTGTAGATAAGACTGGAAATTTAATGTGCTCAGTAACTCTTAACTTTCCAAACTAAGCCATTAGAAGTGCAAACCACATCACCCACTGCAGGAATCAGTATGAAATCTATTGACAGATAAAAATTCTCACTGAAGTTCTTTGTATTGATTTACATGTTTCATTAAATGCACTAAAATTCTGCTTGCAGTGCTGCAGTGACAGGCATTCTATAAATGCAACAGCAAAACACAGATTTGAAGTTACTCCACATGTGCATCTGTGTAATACTATGAACACATCCCTGTATCTCATCTGCACTGGGTGAAATTTTGTGACAGCAGAATACCTGACAGCTAGTAGTAGCATCTCAATACATGTGCTCATTCTACCTG